TCTACCAGCAACCTGCCATTCTCATATCTCCTCATACTCTACAAGCTGTCCGCCACCCTCCTATCGCGCCATACTCTCCACTCCTGGAAGCTGGTATATGCTGGTGGACGCTGGCAGACATTCAGACATTGGATCGAACCTAGCTTCCCTAGCCCTCGACATGCTAGTGGGCACTGGAAGACGCTGGTGAACGCTGGCAGAACGCCAGATAAATACCTCTACTTTCTGCTCGCCGATGCTGCAGAACGCTCGGAGTGCTGGTGGTCGCTATTGGTTGCTGGTGGACGCTGCTGCAAATGAGCGCGGCCTTAGACGTACACCCTGCCTCTCAAATGTCTGAACCCTTTTGGACACGCCCAGTAATACCTTCAGATACGGGCTGTATCGATTCCGTTCCCTGATCATGTGTACCAGCGCTCGATCATCTTGTGCATCATGAGAGCTAGGAGCATTATTTAGTCTAAAGACGATTATTGCTCACAACTCCGGTGCGGGAGACGGGCAAGAGAACCGCAATTTGCCGTGCCACTGTGCGCGGCGTCCCGTTCGGCCATGAGCGCGGGAAACTCCCAGTGTGGGTGTCACGCGACCATAGGCGCGGGAAACTGTACAAGTTCGCTTTCGATTGGAGCAGCGAAACTCGTGAGAATCTTTTCATATATCTCTTTTTTTCTTCTAATCTCTTTTTCATATATTTCTGCAGATACTTCACGTATGTTTGGCGATTTTCTATTGTTCCGCAGTTATGCGCGGTGAATACGAGGTGTGCATCGGTCTGTCGATTAGAGCAGCGTGACTCACGAACTCCAGCAGAGACAAGACTCCATGCTGTGCGATATCGAATGCCCCCGGTTCTTGAACATTCGTATTCAGATGGCCAGGTAGGAAAAGGAGTGATGTTGCTTGCACTGATAAGCTCTTCAGCGCGCCCTGTTCTTCACCATGGAGAAATGCTGCAGTCAGGAACGATAGTCTTCTTTCTTTCTCGGACTCCAGTGCTTGGTATGAGAATGTATGGAGTGGCAGTTCAAAGGCCTAGTTAGGAGACGTTTGCCATCAGCATTCGAACCACTTCAGCTGGGAATGGGACAGGAATGCCAAGTTTTCAGCTAGTAAAACGACAGACAACTTCTTCAAAAAGAGAGGGTAGACATGGCCCTGAACGACTGAACTTGTGTCAAGCAATGTGCTTCACCTTGGGCATCTGCTTGTAAATATTCAATCCTCTCGGCTGCTCTTGTAATGTTCCATTCTCCTGGTTTACCGAGACGTGCAAGACTTACGGTGTGAAGTTAAACTCACCCAAGTTGCTTCCTATCAAGCACGTGAAATGACTGAAACTTACTTACAAGTTGAAGTGATTACCCCTTATCAGCATGAAACGTGCTTGATACCCGCCTTATCGTCATGAGCATTTCTTTGCGAACTGTGGGTGATAGGTTACTGTGATCTGCAGTATACGAGGGCGTTTCTAGTCTGGGGATCTCCAAACCATCATATTTCTGGCAATCGATTCCCGACTAAAAACTCACCCACGTTTCACAACCCTCTTTTCAAACAGTGCCTCGGTCGAGAGAATGAACACTTGCACACTGGCTGCTCACTGAAATGTCGCGGCACTAGTCCGCTAGGAAAGATTTGCCTCTAATTAACTCCTCTCAAGGTGGCGAACAAGTTTGTGAGGTCCCGGAAACTCAGATGAAGTTATTATACAAAATAGTGCGAGTTTTTGTGAGAGCATAGGGTACTGTAAAGTGAAAGCAATATGAGCCAGGCCGCAAGTGAGAGAGACTGTGGAAGAAAAGATTGCGACTCCGGGCTGGGTCTCAGGACTCTATCTTTCAAAGCAAAGACCAAATACTAATTTGGCTGGGTCACGATCATTTCCCAGCATCTTTCAGCGCTGAACATCGTTCAAAATAAAAAAAAACCTGGGACATCGCAGCAACTTAGACTAGTGCCATTATATAAGCTTGGGAAGCTATACAAAAATTGTCGACTTGTATACTGCTCCGCCCACGACGGGTATGCCTCACATTTGTGAACCGATGACCCCTCGCTGATCTCAAACTACTTTCCCCGTGTCTGGAGTGCTCTGGAACCGTTTTACGAATTTTTAAAATCTGGCTTCACCCACTCGGTACACTCTCCGCCCTCAACATATGCCTCGCGCTTCTCAATCGGTGGCCCCTCGAAACTACTTTGCCCGGTGTATGGCTGTTCTGGGCCCGTTTTAGGAATCTTCTGAATTAGCTCCGCCCACCTCGGCGCGATCCGCCCACAGCGGGAGTACCTCGCACATTCCAACATGTGATCACTTGGAGACCATAATCCACTTTTTGCGCCGTCTGTAGTGCTTTAGGACCAAACTACGATTTTTTAAACTGGTACCTCGTGTTCAAATGCACGCCCCGCCCACTGTGGGCGGGCCTCAGCACGCCGCAAACATGGTGGACTCTTGCCAGATGTTCATCTTCGTCATGGACTTTTCCGCGATCTCTAGACTTTTTTCAGGGAGTTACCGACCCTCGTGAGAAGCAGCCCCCATCTCAGGTACACCCAGCCCTTCTTGTGTATCTTCTCTATTTGCTTAGCCAATCCAATGCTGACCTTTTTCCACTTTTTCACCTCCGAGCTACTTTATAGCCAAATTATTGGCCTTTTTTTCTATGTGAACGGAAAGCACCACTATCTCAAGTACGCCCCGCCCATTTCAGGTGTGTTTCCCTTACTTGGTCTGTCACCCTCTCTGAACTTTACAGCACTGTTCCCCATCTCGGACTGATCTGCGTCAATAGCTTTGGGGGTTGTTTAGCGTCATCGCCAACTATACCCCTCGGCACCCGCCCTTGTGGGCGGGCACTTATCCATGGCGGCAGAGTGCTATTCACAAATTGTCCCCATAGCCCTACCCATCCCCCTCCATTTGACCTTTCTCAGGTCCTGATGAAGCTTGGACGGACAAAGGACAGACAGAAGACAGACAGACAGACAGACAGACAGACAGACAGACAGACAGACAGACAGACAGACAGACAGACAGACAGACAGACAGACAGACAGACAGACACAGACAGACAGACAGACAGACAGACAAACACACACAACGCCATTAGCCGATTAATATATACGAGAGCAGGTCGCAGTATAGATGTAATAGCGGTCGAATGTCCTCTTTCACTCGTCCCTTCTCAAAGTTCACAAGACCTGAAACGCGTCAACACAGAATACACTGATACGACAGAATCTTCATATTCGAGTACAGGAACCGTTACAGTGAGGCACAACGAGATTACGCTAACAGGAATTAGCATGTCAAGGAATGGCCATAGCTGACAGGAAGGAGAAAGGCCGATAGATGAGTGTTCTCCCACCCTGTTTTCTTACCGACAGGGATACTGAACTGAGCTAAAATGGGGAAACTGTTAATGTTGGGCGATGACCATACGGCTGCATTACACAGTTGCGAATCCATTGCATCCCCGCACATACACGCAGTGCGAAGCATTGGTACGTCGTTTTGAGCGATGCGGTTTCTGGTAAAAAGAGCCCTTCCAACAGTAGTCCTGTTGTAGATCTTTAATTAACCCCGAATATAGTATTCTGTTCGAAAAGTGATACTTTCGAGATTTTGCATCCATAGTGAAACGCGTCACTAACCATTGTGGGAGTCTTCAGCTCAGTGGCTGGCGCTCCCGCCCCCTTTTTTTGGAAATGGCTTTGTTGCTTGCGGTACAGCTGGTTCCATACAAGGCATCTCAAAAGTGGGTTCCTTTTTGCTATTGCCTGTTCTAAGAGGTCAAAATGAGTATCAAAAATTGGAAAAGTATGGGCCGATTTTACCTATCATAATGGGCTCCGTTCTGATTGTAACCACGAGCATGCATAGTCTATGAGGTGCTCATTAATAAGGCTTCAGAAATGGTTTTAAGTAAAGTCAAATTGTAAGTATCATGTAGTAGCACACTGGGCATGCACCGACGCAACAGTGATGCTTTTTTCAGCGCGTCCCCTCACGCTCAACTGTCGGCCTGATTCGGCGATTGGGCGCGGCGGATAACTCGAATCTATTGCTGCGGATCGAGACGACGATATCAGCACCTTTCTAGAGCGCTATTTCAAAGCCTAATTAACATGAGTACCTTTCATAAACTTTGCATTGCCGAAAGTTAAATATCAGCTACGGCGCATTAAGCAATGTTATAGGTAAAAATCGCCCACTCTTGTCAAATTTTTTCACTCAGTTTTTGACCTCCCCAGAAGCGCATAGCAAAAATGAAACCCATTTTTAAGATCCTTGTATGGACCCTCACAAAAAAGCAACAAACCATTTCCGAAAACCGTGCCACAACCTGAAAGACCTTCCTTGAAGGCGGACTTGTTTGAGGCTTTGCTGCTGCAGCTCGCGATATAATTGCAAGCCATACGATCAGTGGGCCTTTTTATTGTGTTAAGATTCGCAAGATTCCAATTCAATCAAACAACGGTCTAGGTGCTAAATAGAAGCGTTTTATGCTCCTGGCCTATGAGTGTGCTATCAGATAGCCCCTGATAAGGAATTTCCGTATCATGCCGAGCTATGAACCATTTCTGAATGCAAGCTCTTATCTTTCGCTGGTTATACGAAGGTTTGATGAGGGCAACCTTCAACTTTAGTCTCGTGGACCGCGATAAAACGAATAAGGACTGGAGGGCTATCAGCGGACGTGTTGTCTATCAAGATGATGCCAGGCGTTTTCCTTATCCTCGATATCCATTGGAACATCGTCGCGTGCCGGCGACGGTTCATTAGTGTCAGCCGCTGCATGTTGGGTAATATCTGCAGGTGCAGTATCCTCACCCTCGGAATCTTCCCGACGACGATTCCTCAGAATCCGAAGAAGAAGTGGAGGAACTGGAGGAACTAGAACTATCGGAATCATCGGATGAATCCTTGTTCACACGTGTTTTTGCATATTGGGGGCTGTTTTTCCTCCGTGAAGAAAACGAAACGTTGTCTTCTAAAATGACTTATCTGCATCCTGTTGAATCTCTACCGCGGAATCCATCGTCGAAACGTCCATGGTATCGCTAGCCCTCTGAGTGTCGACACATGGAGGGTCAGCTACTTGGTCTTCTACCGTAACGACTGCATTCGAACCTAGAAAAAAGGGTATTATACCGGGTTAAAAAGTGAAGAATAAACGTGAATGGGGGATAAGGCGGAACACCATCGTCCGAAATATGAGCTTGTTGAGGTGAGAATTCCTTTCGTGAGGTAACAATCTGAAAACTTTCTTCACGATTAGATTGAGAGGAACGAGGGGGCGATTGCTCCAATTTGTCTGCAATAGCACAGGGCAAATTAATTTCGTGTGACCCTATATAATAGTATGTAGAAGTGAGTGTCAAACATTGAAACGGAGCCACAACCGCGAACTACACTAACGATAAATCAAGTAATGTTGAAAGAAGGAAGGAAAAAGGGGGAATGGCTAGATGTTATTATCGAGTCGTGGGTTGAGAAAATAATTGGTGATAAGAACAGAATATGATAGGAAGTAGGCTTACGATGGAGGCTTGCGTGGACGGAGATTATAGGACCACATTGTCCCCGGTACGGACCCCATTGTCCCCGACATATACGGCTTCCATGTCGGACCTCTGCACTGCTCATTGTGTTGTGGTGACCATACGATGGCTGCTCCGGTGTTGGTGGTACAAGATCCGTCTCTGTAATGACAGCCAGACAGTGCCAATAGGGCTTTCGACAGTAGATGAGCCGTGATAGGCGAATACTGTAGTCTGAAAAACTGTGCAATTGGTCACCGTAACACTGTTTTCAAAGAAACACTGGAAAGACGCTGCGGGCCATACGAAATCCAGTTTGTTACTAGTTTTCCATACAGTGCCCACCGCACTGTATTCACCATATGCACAGGCTTTGTCACGGATCATATGCTTGCAAATGCCTAGGGGAACTGGAGATTCGACTGTTGTAGTAGTTTGCGACCTCGAACCAAAAAAATTAAGAGAATACTTTGTAGTCTGGGAGATTATGCGACACACATGAGCCGTGCTCTGATAACGAATAGTATTCGGACGGTAGGCGTTGATCGTAAGAGACCGAGGAGTTGCATACCCGGGTGGTGGTACAGTTGATCTGATCGGGAATTTTCCAGTAAGTGAGAGGAGATTTGTTGGAACACAAGTACGCGGGAGGAAGTGAGGAGGTCTGGACGCATGATGCTAATGCTAAAATGGACAAGCACGTGCACATCCAGGCCGGTCTGGCGCACAGGGAGGAGCGCCTGCGACCCGAGTGATCACCGTCATGACCACGTGAAACCGTCATGTTGCGGACACCAAGTCTGCTGACGCATTGTTTCTTTCAATCAGGGCCTGTATATGAGCATCCTTTTCGTCTTGTGATAGGGGTGATAGCTTGTGAGGGTTTATCTGTTGCGGCTTGACCGCCATAACGGCATTCTGACGATTTGATGGTGGGGGTAGAACGTTGCTGGACGCCCCCATAACGACTTAAGAAGTATCGGTGTTGCGATACGCGAGGTCGGTTAGGAGGCGCAGTATTTCCGCGTGGAAATAGTGGTTTGGATGGCTGCAAATTGGCTGGTGGTAAGCTCAAAAGGTTTGAAAGTGTCCTTTCCTACCGCAACGATAGCATACTATATCGGAATTCGGTGCGGCTCTCAAAGTCTGCGAGATGAAGTAGGATTTATAAAGGCGTCTTTTTTTGGGTACTGTCTTGAGTACCCGGGATGGTAGGACTCAAAGTCCGCTGGAACCGATGGACTACAGGCAGAAACGACGAGAACCGGCTGAGTATCAGCAACTGGCATTATGGTAATAGAACTCGCAACGTCGTTAAGGAGCGACTCTAAGGTTGTAGCCTTCACGACCGCTTCATCGAACGTGAGTGGAATAGCCGCTTTTACGTGGAACCTTTTTAGTGCGCCGGTTTCAACCGATCTTGAAATTCATCCAACAAACGTTCGCTTTGGGCTTGTTTTCGTTGGCCGCGCGTTACCTTGCGAACGATATGCTTCATG